ACTACTGATACACTAGAATAGAGCGTATTACGATGTCGCTTATATTACACAGCCACACAAAAAAAAATTTGTGTTCTGACCCAAAGGTCTCACTATGTGCACTTTATGTTTTTGGGGTCGCTGAATCCGAATCCGAGGTCCATTTAACCCCATCAGTTCAGGGTTTTTTTAGTACACAGTTTTATAGCGCATTCAATTTTAGTATAATAATATGCAAGTTTCAAGTCGCTAATTTGCTCATTTGCTTCCATATAACGAATAAACACAATTAATTTTTATATGGCACAAACCCGCAACATCTTCGGCGAAAGTTTTCTAGCCCATTAAATGTTATTATAATAAAGAGCAAGTTTTAAGTTAAAAATTGCGTTGATTTTAAATATATTTTATGCTGACGGCGTTTTGCACTTTTTTTTTTTTGTGGAAGAAAATGCGCAAACCCGTTTTCAAAGAAAAAAAAAAAAAAATAACTCCAGTTTTGAAATCATTTAAAACTTGCACTTTAACTTTATTATGCTAAAATTTAATGGGCTACAAAACTACATACCAAAAGAATTCCCAAAATATATTTAAAAAATTTGTAAATTTGCAATGTACTCATTTTACTCAACTTCTGTGTAAAAACATTCATAACTCAAATTATTGTAGAGTGCATCCCATAATACTACACTTAAATATTGCGCAATACTCAGAGATACCATTGTGATTTTTTTTAATTTTTTTTTTTGAGATGGCATATTTTTAAAAATGAATTTTTTTTATCAAAAAATTTGTATGTGAAAAATTTTTCAAGAAAAAAAATTTAAAAAATATTTCTTTCCATAGAGAATTTTGATGTGTGTATGTGTATATTTTTCCAAATTTTTTCCGTTCTCGAGATATTTGGAAAACCATTAAATCGATTTGTTTTTGTTTTTGTAATGTAAAGTTTTTAAAAATGTATTGATCAAGCTCAAATTACATATTTATTTATTATCTATGTTATGCATCAACCCTAAAAATTTGAAACAAAACAAACACATGTAATTCTCTAAAAACCGTTTATGCTTTCTTTCGCTTATGTTTGCAAATTAGATAAACCTTTGTAGGAAAATATTTGTTGAAAACAAATACGAGATGCAACGAAATTGTTTGGCATATTTTTCACAAATATTCTTCTATAGCTGCTTGGCTTTTACCAAATTAAAGGCCAGACTTATAATTATAAGCCAAGGGGTACCCCTACATACATACATACATATGTACATAGTTTTTATATGATGACAAATGTTCGATTTACAACAAAATTACTATAAAACAAATGAACTAAAATACTTATTTGTTTCTTAAAAAATACACTTTATGGGCGTAAACAAAAGTATACAACACCAAGTTCTTCCGATATGCGCGAGTTTAAAGCTTTCATAATCGTTTGCAAAACAAATAAATTTTTTCCATGGTGATGGCTTTTCGAATTCCAACAACCAAA